TATTTGAATTGAATTGAAACATTATTGATTACTTGCAATATGCACAGTTAGTCATATACTTGTGAGACTGTGAGCTTGGTTGGTGGGTCTCAATTATTTATTAGTGTTTTGAGTATTACATGTTTTCTTTAGCTTCAGCTGAAAATCATCTTATTATAAGTCCTTGAAAGATTGTGGCTTGCCAATTGTGGTGTTCTCTTTTTCCAGGTTGAGATTAAAAGAACCATCCCAAAAGGATCTGCTGATTCAAAGGATTTTAAAACAAGGAAGATTTTTGTTGGTGGCATTCCAACTACCATGACCGAAGGTAACATTGTGCCATTTTGTTCTATACTAACTAGTTCTGTTGTCTGACAGTTGCAGTAGTATTCTTTAAGCTTGAAGTATTTAAACTGTTGTCTCTTGTACATTAATTGTCAGATGAATTCAAGAACTTTTTCTCTAAGTTTGGGAAAGTAACAGAGTATGAGATCATACGAGATCACGTGTCCAAGCGTTCTAGAGGCTTTGGATTTATTGTGTTTGACAATGAAGAAGTAGTTGATAATTTGCTGGCTGAGGGAAATAGGATGGACATGATGGGTACTCAGGTAAGTTTTGTAGGATATTTCTTCATGATCTCAAATGTTCTGGGACATGACTGTCGTGCGTACATAGTGGATCCTCAGGATTGTGCTTTCATAGCATACCCCAGCCTAATTTTCTCCTTTTAACATATACCTATATGCCATAAGGAGCTGCTGCATATGTGGTAGTTTAATGTAATGCAAGGAGTATAGGTTTGTAGGTTTCTCCATTGAGTATGCATCTTTTAGTGCTCAGCTGTCAGGCTATTATGCAGGTGGAACTTCTAGGTTAACTTGCTTCTTTGTTGTAGGTTGAGATCAAGAAGGCAGAACCAAAGAAACCCTCAAACCCAGCTTCTGCTCCTGCATATGGTAGTAATTCTAGGGGGCGTGGATATGGTGATAGTTATGGAGGATTTGCCGATTCATATAGCGGTTATGACAGTGGAGGTTTTGGCCCTGCTTCTTATAGGTCATTTGGATCTAGGTATGGTGACTATGGATATGGTGGTAGATATGGAGACTTTGGCAGTAGTGAATTTGGTGGTTACCGTGGAGACCCCTCACTTGGTTATTCCAGTCGTTTTGGCTCGTATGCTGGTGGTTATGGTGGGGGATACAGTAGCAGTGGGCTAGGAGCATATGGCCGTGGAGGTGGTTATGGTGGTTATGGGGGAGCTGGCCCTGGTGCTGGTTATGAATCTGGCCCTGGTG